TATCCTTTTATTTAGGCACAGTTAATATACACCCAAGTTTGTTGCCTCTATACCGTGGTGCAGCTCCTGTGCAGAGGGCGCTGCAGGTTTTAATGCTCTCCATTTACAATAAAGTGACACTGGAGTATGTGATACTTTTTATTTTTATATTCTTTATTTCTGTAGGATGGTGTTGCAGAAACAGGTGTTTCCCTTGCATATACTGTTCGGGCGTTGGATGCAGGTCCAATGATTGCGTGTGAAAGGTTTTCTGTTGATGAATGTATTAAGGTAGGTAATATTCAGTGTCTTCCTAGTTTGATGTTTCATCTTGACGATTCAAAGTTATATAATAGAAATTCTGCAGTTCTCCTTTTTTTTTAATGGGCATGGATATATGATTAAAAAATAAATAAATGGTACCAAATGGACATTTAGGCCTCCCTGTTCTTGTTCGATCATATAATATTAAGTGGAGAAATTGGTTGGTGAGTCCCAGGGCCCCATTAGGGATAACTTGATTCGCAAAATTGTGCTTTGGCTGCTCGCTATAAAACTGGATGTCACATGTTGAAGAATTTAATGCATTGTAGATTATGAATTATCACTGTGCATTTGTACTTTATGTGAGGTGCATTTCTGGAACTAAAACCTTCCACTGCTCAACTAACATGATATGATTTTCGTTCTACAATCTACTGAAACGCATTTCTTTGCAGAATTTGGTTAGTTAGCACTAAAGAAAAGGTGAAGCATCAGAATATGGCTAGATGTTTGGTTATCAGCATGTTACTATCCTTCATTGATCATAATGTATGTGACTTTGTTTGTTTGCAGGCACCAGAGCTACTTTCTATGCTGTTTGATTTAGGTAAAGACCACAGACTAACCATAATCTATGAAAGGTCATTATTCTACGTGGTCATTGTCATGAAATTGGTCCTTGTATACCTTCTAGAAGCTTACCTGCCCTAATGGCAAGTTTGCTGCTTTACTTTCTCCTCACTCTTAGCTGGGTCTTCAAATTAGTTGAGTAGTTGACTGAGTTTTGTAAATAAATAAACAGGATGGATGATTTTAGCACTTTGTTTTCTATTCAGACCTGGTAATGTTGATACTTGTATTGACAGGATCCAAGCTATTGATTAATGAACTGCCATCCATTCTTGATGGTTCGGCTAAAGAAAAGGCACAACCACAGGATGACTCCAAAGCTACACTGGCACCAAAGGTAAGCATTGGCAGAAGTAGGCCTAAATGTGTGCTGTCATATGTTACAACTTGATTTAATCTTCTCATATGAAACCAGAAATATAATCATTAGCTCCATTTAATGACAGGAAAAAACACCATTATCTTGATACCATGCTCTGTGCTATAAAGTTCGACATCATTCAACAAAGAAAAGTCTCAAGTTACATGAGCTTTTGTCAAACTTTCTGCCTGCTGTTTAGCTCATAGTCTACTCTAGATGAACCCTTCACTTGTGGTATACTATTTATAAATTGTTTATTTCTTTGGGGTACCTCTGAACTGATAATGGAGGGACTGGAATTTGAAAGAAATTTTGTCAAACTTTCTGCCTGCTGTTTAACTCCTTCACTTCTGGTATACTATTTATAAATTGTTTATTTCTTCGTTGTACCTCTGAACTGATAATGAAGGGACTGGAATTTGAAAGAGCTTATTTTACACCAAACTGTTCCATGCCTCGTGGGTTCAGATTTCTAAAGTTATACAAATTCAACACTGTTATTTTGTTGAATTTTAGCCGCCAGTAGTCATACTTGCTTTTCAATGGATAAGATGTACTAATTTAATCTTCTGTACCTACTACTGAGACTTGAAATTCTAATCTACAAGCACTTCAAAACTTAGTGGGTTAATGCAGTCAAATGTTTCTCCACGTTTTGATAAATCCTGACTAAACTATCATGAAGAACTGTTTTACTACCTTATCACAATGATATCTGTTTTCCAGTTAAATTCTGAGGAGTCATGGCTATCGTTTGACCAAGAAGCTAAAGTGCTCCATAACAAGGTGAGTTTCTAATTCTTAATGTGTTCAACAAAGCTATTGCCAACCAACTCTGGTAGGTGCGGGCATTTGCAGGATGGCCTGGGACACGTGCAAAACTGCAACTCGTAAACCAAAACAGTGTACCTGACGTGCTAGAGATTAAGGTTATCAGCACGAAAGTTTCAACATCATGTGTCAAAGTTGGAGATGAAAATGAGATACTATTCTCCGGGAGCTCGTTGCTGATTCCTTGCAGTGGTTCAACCTGGCTCGAGGCATGTATCAAGATTTGCTGACCGATAACAGTTACTTGATTTCCTTATGATTTTCTTCAGTGCATCTAATGGCGCGTATGACAGGTGTTGGAGCTTCAACTCCCTGGAAAGAAATTAACAAAGGCACAAGATTTTGGGAATGGTTTGCGTGGTCAGAAGCTGATGAAATTGCCTTAGGGAGTCTGCATTCGCAGCACAGCAGTGTCTATATGCACAGCAAGGTACATTTGCATGGTTAACATCTAAATGGTAGTGTTACCATATATAACAGATAGATGAGTGTGTCATGCGACATGCTCTGTTGCCGCATTTTTTGCAGGGTTATTGACGTCAGTCATCCCGCGAACATATGCAGGGGAGCGCTAGAAGCCTATATGATGAGATCTCAGTTTTACTGACTACGTTTTCCTTCTTCTGGTAAACTTGGCGCTATATACTCAGTAAACTGTGCATTAGGCATGTCATATGTATTGCTTCCTCAATTTCAGAAAACACACGAATGGTTAATTGTTTGCTGACCATTTCAGTTGAACAAAAAAAATTTCACTAATGCCATCGCTAACTGAGCTACAAGCATTTGAGAATTAATACAGTTGTGTGGTGAGTAAAAACTAAAAAGGCAATAATTTGTCGTACCTTCTTGAGGACGTCGTGGCCCTTTCTGCACAGCTGCATCTGAACGATCTACGAAATGTCTTGCTTTAGTTCCCACAAAAAAAAGTCTTGCTTCTATCTCTTGGTCTGATCCATTGGAACAAACTTAAGGGTCTCCATGCTTGGCAGTAACTTATAGAAGTGAAATGTTCATTATATTTTCATTCAAAAGTTGGACACGGAGTTATTTTATACTGAACAAAAATGACCAGGATAAAAATTTGTAGGTATGGGGGGGGCCTGTTATGGGCAGCCCACCTACCCTACGTCCGTACCCCTCACAGCAAAGCGATAAGGATTAGGAAAGATATTACTATTAGATTTGATCAGGTTAGTCCCTTAGTTCTAGAGATTATTTAGATTCTTAAGGGTCAAGTCTTCTTACCTCCTTTCAGCCAAGCAGTGAAGAAGAATTAGGCCCTGTTTGTTTCGCTGAAATTTGGTTTATGCTGATGCTTATGCTGAAATTTTGTGAGAGGAAAATATTGTTCGTTCGTTGAAAAGTACGGCAATGACCTCTATGGCTCGCCCCTGTCATCGAGTCGTGGCGAGATTGTAACTTGTAAGCCAGTCCGTGTCGCCAAATGCAGCCTACCGTGTCCCAGCCAAGCTCCAACCTACGAGAACGTGAGCTGTGCACTGCTGGTTAGCCAACTCCGCAGCTGAGCAACAATGGTCCACCGTGAGTGGCAGCGCTGCCGCACTGATTTGTCTCCCGTGTTCCCCGACTCATGGAGGCCGCGCGTGCCGTGTCAAGCCGTGCCAGATTGCCAGCTGACTAGCTGAGTTCTCATCTCCATCCTCATCCTCATATCCACTGTCCACGGTGCTGTTATGGTCTGTTCTTCCCAATTTCTTATTTGTTTGCTTTGAGATCAGTACAAAGAAAGGAACGTACAGTTTACGCAGATCGCAAAAACAACAACGGTAACGCTTTTATAGAGTTAAAATAATCACCCTAGTGAGTAGTGACGCCCACCTCCCCTTCTAATTTACAAAATACATTCGGTTATGTAATTAACTGATCGCATGCACCGGAAGTGGGAGAAATACCCAAGCTGTTTGGAAGGGTCAATTTAGTGATCTACTGACATGAAGTTGTTGAGTAGACATTTCTTTCACTTGCAAAATCCGACAGAGAAATACAAATTACTGATATGAAGTTGTTGAGTAGACATTTGGGGTCTTGCGCACAATCCTGTTTTAAAACATCGTTCGACGACCCCCATGGTTTTGTAAAAGAAATCATGGAAGCTCGTATTATTATTTATAACATAATTGTTGGAGATTAACAAAAAAAATAACTACTGCTCCTTTGGACTCTCACGAGGCTCCAGGTTCATATCCGGTTCTAGCGCCGGAAGTCAAGAAAGGGCGTTCCCTTTGACAAAGTGCTGGATGTGGACTTTCCATATTTGTGATGGGACATCAGTACATCACATACACAACAAGAAGGATTAAATTGACAATATTTGGGAAAATTTTCAGAACAAAGTGAGGTTGTGAGGACTGGAAGCTAGTTTGAATAACCATATAATGTATATATTTTTTGTCAATAGATTTACTTCAAGATGTACTCAGTCAATTTAGATTCCTCCATACAAATAAATTTACCATCTCACTTGTAATAATGTGTCTTTGTAGAATAACAATTTCATACTCATTATGTTCAACTTCTCCTGTAGCAAAGTTTATCTTCATATGTAGTGATGTATCCAAGTTCCTTAAAAAAATATCCATGTGAAATAATTACTCTATTTGTTCGAAGAAACAAACACATAGTGCACAAAGTTTAGCCAGAGGTGATAACAGATTGATTAATTGCATGCAAGGATTAAATGGTGCAGAATCCCATATAGACAGCGTAACTTAGATTTTGTTTATACAATTGTTTGTAGATGACAAGAAAGAGTGTTACAAACAACCACCGTCTAGTTCAACTTACATTATCCATCTACTCTACTTTTCAAAGGGTGGGCAGGGTTAAGTTCAAATTCAGGCTCCATTCTTCACAAGATGCCAGATCTGTCACACGCTGGCAAATTCAAACTTGAGCAGGGCCGAGACAAACTTCATGTATTCGAATCCTGCCGCAACTTCTGAGCCCGATCTCTCCAGGAACCTTTTTGCATGGCCAGAACCTAAGGACATTGTTTAATGAGTGGCTTCGACACACACAAAAATAAACAAAATGCCAGGAAAACGAACTTGACAGTATTACTTTGTCGCTGATGAGGGAGCTGCTAGGTTCATCAGCTTCTATATCTTCAACTTTCCCATCTTCATGATTGGTTTGAAGCTCGTCCCCACCAGTTTCAGTATCAACAAATGAAATTGTAGGTACACCAAATATAGCCTCATCATGCGCATCTCTGACTTTATCTTCATGCTTTGACTAGGATAGGTGAAGAACAAGGAACGGGAGAAAAAAAACACTAATGGTTAAGAATAATGTAAAAAGTGCAGAATATATAACTCGTTGCTTTTCACTGTATACCTCCACAGCAGAAAGCCAGAAGCTCTTTCCAATATTCTTCACCAGTGAAGCATCATCATTAGCAACTACAGGTACAAAATAAAGGTAAACTATGGGATCTGGGTTGCCAAGCAGAATGCATAAACAGCCACAATTTTTTGTATATATTACTGCACTAAAACTTCTCTAAATGTTAAAGCCACCAAGCCTATTATCACAGAAATAGGGCAATCATATGTATACCATTTTCAACAGTTTGAAGCAGCTCAAGCAGTTGAATATAGCATGGGAAACCACGCTGTGCAAAGGTTGCAGCAGGTTGGTTTATCACTGATAAAGAGCGGAGACACCAAAATAAATTGTTCTCCTGCCCACTAAGCCTGAATGGTACAGTGCTGGCATAAACACTGAACATGAGCCATGAATGGAGATCTTTTGCCACTGCTCGATCGCCCATTTATCATTTCCAACATCTACTTACCAGTGTACACTTCAGAAACTACTACTAATCTTGTATCAATCTGTTAGACAGGAAGATGGGCCTAGAGCCCGGTAACGGTTGTGTTGCCTTGGCCCTTGGACTCAAGTTGGCACACCAGTAGATCGAGTTGTCTTAGGCAAGGATATCAGAAGACGGTTCTATTCCCATAAGCCGCCCCTATCCTTGCCTATACATACATGTATCATGTACTCCTATAATCAATCTAGTAATTCAGCATATCAATCCTACTTACACAATCAACATAGCCTCATATCTTGTATTAGTTCTCCTGATGATTCTTCAGAGAATGTAATCATATCTAGGAATGCTCAGTAGGCTGTTCTGTCGCTATACATATTAGTTCTCCTGATGATTCTTCAGAGAATGTAATCATATCTAGGAATGCTCAGTAGGCTGTTTTGTCAGTGTACAGTCATTGGACAGTCCCTGCATCAATCTAGATCTCCACGCTATCACTCTAGCAATCAAGAGCTCAAGCTCCCCAATCCAAACAAAAAGGAAGTTCTTTTTTTCTGCATTGATCGTGAGCCTAAGTTATTCATAAGTCTAGAATGGTTGAGCTAATGCAGTCAGTGGACATATGAAAACTGAACATTCTAGATTCACACCTAAATATATACAAAATGTAGGGCTATTTTGTTGAGCATAGAAACTGAAAAATAAGAGGGCAACTACCAAAATAACAAGAACCTCTCTAAGGTTAATATATCTTATAGCTTTATTGAGGGAATCTGATAACTTGGATACAGAATGTATTATAGCAAGAAACATCAGGAGATGGTGAAAAGAAAATGACATTGGGCATGTAAAATCAATTGTGTAGCCTTTACTAGTGCTAAAAAGCGCTTTACATCCTAGAAATAAAATTGCAAATTATAATTCTAGGGCCTTGAAGGGCGGGCCTGGTGCAAGCGGTAGAGTCTTAACGCCTGTGACCGGAAGGTCCCGGGTTCGAGTCGCGGTCTCCTCGCATTGCACATGCGAGGGTAAGGCTTGCCACTGACACCCTTCCCCAGACCCCGCATAGAGCGGGAGCTCTCTGCATTGGGTACGCCCTTTTTATAATTCTAGGGCTTTCAAAACTAATCATAGGCAGATCCACAGATGTCTAAAAAGATAACACGCCAAGTTGAACAATAACTAGATGAATAACCATGTCATGCAAAGCATCATAAGGAATAATCAAGACTGATATGATGAACCAAACTAATGAAAAGCCATATGAAGCAATAATTAAGACAATGCAGTCATGCCAACACTAACCTTCAACATCATCATTATCTTCATCAAGTGGAGCATCCTTATTAAATTGAAATCTTTCCCACCCCACAGTTGCAGTTCCAAGAGTGGAATCTTTTGCAGCTGCCAAACATTGAAAAGGAAAACAATGCAATCTTTTAGAACAATGAAAATATCATCAAGAACCATAAAGATTGTAAACCTATCATGGAGCATGATCAACAGAAGAAATTGCAGCCGCATGCGCATTTGAATGGCATTATGCTAGTGTACCCAAGAGTCGATTTTGAGTTTTGGAGCTACATAATATAAGGATAGCTACATATCCAAACAAAAAATACACATAAGCGCTGCAATGCCTAGATTTATGTATAAACAATTTCCACTTATCAAGCTAGCATAGCGAATGCATTGACTTATGTACAATCAGTTTCCAACATTTCTCTACACTGCAGAATCACATATTCAGTAGAGACATGCTACACTCAAAGCTAGTAGCCTTTAGTCGAGAAAGGCACCATCCTAGCTCATAAGAACTGAAAGAGTGATCACCTGTCTCTGAAAGCTGAAGCTTCATCTTTGCTTTAACTCTCTCAGCTGGAGTCTGCAAGAGAATCAACAGTTCATGGAAGCTAACAAAACAATTGTACAGCAGACACAAATCAACGAAGCAATATGAGAAATGCGCGACCAACCATTTTATCATATCCTTCTATGAGCCGCGAGTAGTCCATTTTGCCTCCGTCCCTATCACCGCGACCCTTAGAGCTCTGATGGCCGTCGTCGTGCCGCCGCCACCGATCCCCATGCCGTTCCCACCGGCCTTCCGAGGGCGAGCTCCTGCCGCTCCGGCGAGAAGGCGATCTCGACCCCTGCGACCTAGAGCGCCTACGGGATGCCCTGCGGTCCCTCTCCCTAGACCTGGAGCGACGCCTGCGCTCCCTCGACCGGGACCTCGACCTCGATCGGCGCCGGCTGGAGCGAGAGGGGGACCTGGACCTGGACCTGGAGCGGATCCTGGGAGGCGAAAGAGGCGGTGAACTGGAGCGACGGCGCGGACTGGATGGGGGCCTGGAATGCGGCGGCGGCTGTTTAGAGAGATTAGGGAGTTGGGCGGCGGCAGGGGCTGCGCCAGCGCGAACGAAGCTGGATAGGAAGGAGGAGGCGGTGGGCTTGGAAGGGAAGGCGGCGGCATCGGATGAGGAGGAGGAGAAGCCAAGCCCCTGCTTGAAGCGGCGGGCGCCCTCGCCCTTGCGGTTGAGCTCGTCGTAGTACGCCGCCGCTTTCGCTTCCTCCATTGCCCCGGTGTAGGCCTGTAGGGGCGTTTTCGGTTTCTGAATATCGTTACTCTGCTGGTCACTTTTTATGTCCAAATTACAATTATCGCTACTCTGCTGGTCACTTTTTTTTTTTAATTTAAAGTCCGTTTTTTTTTTTTGATCTACATGACTAAAGTTGACAGTACTCAATCCATCCTAAATAGTAAGACGTTTGACTTTTTTAACACCAAGTTTGATCACTCGTCTTAATCAAAAATTTATGTAAAATATCACTTCTTTCATCGTGGTTTGGTTTATTAATAAAAATTCTTCAAGAATGATTTAAATTTGACTATATTTACAAAAAAAAATTGAATAAGACGAGTGGTCAAACTTAGAACAAAAAAGTCAAACGTCTTACAATTTGGGATGGAGTAGTATTAAATATACACTAATTACATAAATGAAGATTGATTCATGAAACAAACCTATTAAGCTTAATTACGCCCTGTTCACTTGGCTTATAAGCCATACTTTTTCGGTCAACAAATAGTATTTTTCTCTCACAACAAATCAGCCAACAGTACTTTCAGCCATGACTTATCAGCCAAGCGAACAAAGCATTAGTCTATGATTAGCGAATGTAATGCTACAGTAAACATATGCTAATTGTAGATTAATTAGGTTTAATAAATTCATTTCGCGATTTAGTCACGGTTTATGTAACTAGTTTTATAATTACCTTATGTTTAGTCTTTTTAATTGACATCCAACATTCGATATGACGGGGACTAAACTTTAGTCCCTGAATCCAAACACCACATAAGTAGTCAGGAAGTAGCTGCTAAATTAGCCCTTATATAGAACCAAACAATTCAACTAGTACTGAAACTAATCTTAGAAAAGTAATATCTTAAAGTAAATTATACACTCTCTTTGTTCTAAATTATAAGACATTTTGGTATTTTTTAGATACATTGTTTTTACTCTAGGTAATGTTGAGAAGCATTCGTCACGCCGCTGTTGGTGGGCCCTAACGTCCAAAAGGCCATCCTATCCGTTCCTATTCCACTCCTCTACGGTTACCGCAATTTATAAAAAAAAACTTAAATTAAACATCGCCTTGACTGTGCTCCGTGACCTCGCTCCGCCCGTGCCTCCTGCACGCTTCCTCTCCACCGCGCCTCCCACCAGCCTTCCTCTCCATTGCCGCCGCATGCTCCCCCACAACCGCAAAGCCACTGCCACCTCACCACGCGACGCCATACCGCCCGACTGCTGCAGCCGCCTCCACCACGGACATCGCTCGTCGGGGTCACCGCACGCGCCCTATCGTCGGGGCAGCACACCCGCTCATCGCGGACCGCACAGGCATAGCCGTCCGCCACCTGTCATCCTCCTTCTCTACCACGACCGCACAACCGGATCCCACTATGGAGTGCTTTGCCCGCCTGCTAGGTTTTGTTGAAAGCGCATGTTGCGAGCGTATGTTTTAAGTGTTTCAGATGTTTTAGTGGCATGTTGCACGTGTTTTATATATATTATGTAAAACTAAATTGGGATGTGGCATATGTTGCAATAGCTATATACGTATATTGCAAGTGTATGTTCCAAATGTGTCATCTGTTTTTTATACGTATGTTTCAAGTGTGTTTATTTGGATGTTGCATATGTTTCATACATATGTTGCAAGTGCTTTTATCTGGATGTTGCATATGTTTTGCAATGGCTTTCAAGTGTTTTTAGGTATTTTTTGCAAGTGTTTCAGATGTATGTTGCAAGTGTCGCAGCTGTTACGGACGTATGTTGCATGTGTTTCATTTGAACATTGCAAAAGTAGATCTCCTGTTGCACATATTGTAATGAGACTCACCTGCAGCAGTCGCCTGCTGCAGCTGTTGGGCTGCCACCGAGCGGGCACATACGTCCCCGCGTGCATGCGCGTGGGAAGCTGAGGGGGCGCGAGCGGTCCTCATGTGTGGTCTAGCGACGCGAGCCCCCACGTGTGCTCGTGAAACGCAGGCGCAGGCGGGCAGTGTTCTGGCGGCGTGGGCCTCACGCAAAACGGCGTGAAAAATGCACTGCAGGCGTGGGAATGCTGACGTCCGTCCGAACGTCCGGGCACTCGCACTACCATTTTACTGTTACCTATCTAAACATAGTGTGTTTCTCAATTCACCTTTACAATCACAAGATTCGTCCCAGCAGGGGAGACCAGCCACGTCACCCTGAAATCCTTTAGCCATTCGATTCTGCGATCGACGCTCCATATTCCCTCCATCGATCGCTACAGTGCACAGCCCCCTCCACGAAAATATCTCCATCTCTCCCCCTCCTCATCCTAGATCGAAAAAAAAACTCTCCCTTCGTCTCCCTCTCTCGGTCCCTCCCGAGGCCGCGCCCCTTCCTCACGTGACCCGCGCCTCCGCCCCGTCGTCCCTTCTTCTCTCCTTCCCTCTCCCTGCTGATCTCGGTGGCGGCCGGCCCTCGGCGCGGCGGCGGCAACCCTCCTCCTCCTCCTCCATGCCCCTCCCTCCTCGCACCGTAGGGTCCGGGCGACGGCGGCACCCGCCGTGGTGCTGCGCCGGTGCAGCGGGTCGCAGCTGCGCGGTCATCCTGGGCGACACATCGGCCTGGGTGGCTGGTACCTGGCTCGGCCACGATGCCTACCTAGGGTTCTGCGTGGGCGGCGGCGGCAGAGGCAACCCGGCCATGCCCCAGCGCGGGCCACACCGGCGTCGCGCCGCACTAGCGCCCCTGCGCCGGCAAGCTCCACCGCGACAGGACGGGCGCGGGCAGCCCCGGTTCGAGGGTTCTAGGAACCTAGGTGCCCAGATTCTGGCCATTGGTGTGACCCTGGATGCCACTGCTTGCTTTTTTTGTGCAGCAACTTCGATTTAGGGTGTGCCTGTGAGCCATCCATGGTGGCGCTGCTCTAAATTTTGCTGGATTTTCTCTTTACAGAGTCCGGTTTGAAGGATGATGCTCCCCTGTTCTTAATTCTGGATTCGATTTATTATATGACCCTAATTCTTTTTCCTTGGATTCATATTGTTCTTCTTCAATGGAAGGTGTTGCTCGACGGAATGGTGTGACATTGGAAATATCTTGGGAGACAGCACCGAGGTTGCTATCATGATGCGTTCTGAATCATCACCACATGGGCTTGATCAATTTTTAGCTGAGGTATCAAATTTCAGTGGCCCAGAAAAAACCATATTATCAATTTAACCAAAAAAATATGTTCCATACCTTGTTACATAGGTCCAAAGCTTGACAAAGGTGCATCACAGGAATCTAGTGTCTTCGATTGGTTACTGCTAGGAGGAAGATCATTTGGCATTGGTTTATGAGTACATGTCTCAGGACAGTCTTTTTGATCATCTGTGAGCTATCTCTATGGAAAGCCTATTGAGTATTGATTTAGGCATAACCAGTTGTGTCTTCCTGCTGAAGTGCCTAATCCTTACTGACAGCAATGACAGCATGGTTGCGAAATGTTTGCCACCATCCTATTTATATCGTCAGTCCATCTTAACATTGGGATGAGGTCTGACTTGATGCTGTGACTGTGAGCTACATCCAGTTACCTTAAACCCCACCACCTGCCTACCCTTTGTTGTTTTTAGTGTATGATTTCCGCTAATGCATATTTTAGAGGATCTGATCCAAAAAATAAAGCTTGCAAAGGGTCCTGTAGTCCTGTACACAAACATCAAAGCAACAACAGTCCTAAAAACCTTCAGAAATCACAGACAAACAACACTCCAGCTAAAGTTGGAAAACAAGATAGACTAAAGCTCCAAACTCCTAAGGATTCTATAGTTGGATAGCACGTCATGGAATCCTGCTTAACACAACCTAATACATATTTTTGTCATGCTCATAGTTGCTTGGATCTGATTATCTGAGACATGACTGTTCTATTCATATTGTGGATATTAACTTGATCCTGCTATTATGCTCGCATCCTCTGTAGAATCAACTCACTGTCACTTATTTTTTTTTCTGATTTTGCATTTCTCATGTTAATATGTTATTTATGCTTCATTTTCTTCAGTTGAACCAAGTGCTGTGGGCAAAAGAGTTTATCAACGACCCTATCAGCAACACAACTCTGAATTATAGTGACAAGTGGTTGGTGTTGCAGCATGAGTCTTGAATTCTTTTGGCTTTCTATTTTGATTATTATATATTAAGTGGGCAACAATTCCATAGGTCAACAAATCCTAGAGCTGTACTAATCATGGATGAAGTTGACGGTATGTCTGCTGGAGATAGAGTTGGTGTTGCTGATCTTATTGCTAGCATCAACATATGTAGTATTCCTATTATCTGCATTTGTAATGACCGTTATAGCCAAAAATTGAACAACCTTGTTATTTGTTAATTACTGCCTGATGGTCAACTTCAGCAAACCAAAGAAACAACAGGTATCCTCTCCGTCTGTACCTAGAATCTCTTGGTTACAGATTTGTGGTGAAGATTTGTTTTTTTTTGTGTATTGTTTCGTCGGTGCTGAATCTGTAACACCCTAGTGTTAAGCTTGCATTTTGCACTTGCATTGCATGAGCATAAGCATCATCCATCCATTCATGAGCATGAGCACGTGAAATTTCATTTCATTCACTCTATGTTTATCACATGTGATGCTTAATTTATACTTGTATATGCCTTATGGTCATGCTTGGCTAATGCAAGTGATTGTTGTTGGGTCACTAAAACACCTTAGACACACTTAGGATGAAAAATGGAACCATATTTATATTCATGACTTGGCCCAAAATTGGCTCTAAGTGTTGGTTTGCTTTAAAATGCCTTTTTCATGATGCTTCTTTGACTTAAGTCGGACAGTAGCTTAGAGTGCTTGCATGGCAGTGGGCCCTAAATGAAAGTTGTAGTTCATGTCATGTAGGACAAACTTTGTTTAATGGTCAAGAGCTAAATCAGTGCCTAGCTTAGTCAAATAGAGCTCACAAGAATCAACGCAGTGCTGTTTTGGAACCCCAAATTTTTTTTTGCTAAGTTCTAAACTGGTT